GACGTTTGTCGAAGGATTGGCTTCACTTGTCTGTTTGACGAGTTCGTAGCTTGGTGCGGCGAATGGCAAAATTCACTGATGATGCCGACTACGATGCCGGCGAAATGTTTGAGAATGTATCAAGTCCACTGTCAGATGCTGGGAATTATGACAACTTCCATGGCAGACGACTTCGGACTAGGTGCGTTCTACATGGTCTCCCTGCTCGAAAACTGCTTACATAAAAAATAAGTACTGTCGTCAATTTCAATTGCAAACACGTGATCGCTTAATTGATAATCCCACCATAAATGTGATTTGGATAAGCTTGACTTGCCATGAATGCCGTATTTGCCATGCGACGCCCTGTTACTCGTAGCTGTGTAATAGAGTGAAATTGCAACATCGCCACGATACTCACAGCCCTATTTGAACCCCTAAAGGGGTACTGATGAGATGAGGGCGAGGTCAAAATTGCAATCCTCCTAAGATCAGATTGCCGCTTATGGGCAAGGCAAAATGAAATTCAATTAAACCATCAGGCCTATATATTTTATTGCGGGAAGACTAAATTATCGGTCCCTAAATAACCTTGATCGACCTAGGGTGACTAAGTTCTCATTTAATATCGTAATGGCTGCAAATAGATATATTGTGCCGTTTGCCATAGCTGACCCTATTAATTGTTTAAGTAATTCCAAAGTTTAAGAATTAAACAATATTTACGGTAAAGCAGCAGAGGAGAAAAATCCCTTGTAAGTGTCCCAATATAAGGAAAATATGAACAACAAGGTAGGCTTAATGAATTGTCGTACTACTTTTTACAAGTCATTAAAAATGAGGATCAAGCAAGAGCTTCAAGAGAGATTTAAAGCTAATTAATTATTGCTATTTGATAAAAATACGAAAGCGGCTAAGGAGTGATTATAAACTGTATGGAAAACTCATGCTAATTATCGTACGATGTTAATGGCTGCCTAGCCATCTGCAATGTGTATATCAGTCGCTGCTGGTGCTCAGTGTTAAAGTCTCGCCTCCCACAAAAGCCACTCGGCATCAAACCCCGAACCCCAGTTTGAACAGGTCCTGGAGGAGCAAATTCGCTTGCTGAATTCAGGCGGCTTGGTAAGCATGTTACAAGATCGGGTTGAGCTGAGGTCGGCCGGCAAATATGGCGTGATTGACTCAAATTATTTGCACGATTAGAAATACTTGTCGCCGAGGTGCCTGTGGGAATCCGTGTGCATCCATCAGGCCGACTCCATTGTAGACGAACAGAGTAAGAGTTGCCAGAGGCTACAAGGATTACAGACGCAGAATGCATGGAGCAACTAAAAGTAGCGCAATTCAAAGTACTTGAGCGTCCAGATGTTCGAATAGATGAAAGGCCAGAAGCATAAGATGAAGATGATTGTAACGAATTAACACAAGGAGGAAGGAGGAAGGAAGGAGCGGCTGGCAAAGGTGTCAATGTAGTGAAGCGAAGTCCGCCGGAGTACACACCTGAACCATGGGCATTAATAGCACGGACACGAAGTCTGAAAAATTAAAAGAAGGGAGTAAACGTATTATAAAGCCTACTAATAGGAATAACACAGATAACATACAATGTAATAGAGTAATATGAAAAAAGAAGGGGATGTCGCACTTACAATACAACCAACACCTTATACCGGACATGTCCATTATGCTTGGTCTTGAAATTAAATAGTTAAATGTGGAAAAAAAATCAGTTGAACGAAAATTTGAGTACTACGATGCAAGAGTTAAAAAGCTCAATGATCAAATTGTATACACGAATCCACACTATTTTGCGATGCAATATAAGCATAGGTAGATTGTCCAGAAATGTATGATATGGTTTTAGAATCATGTTTGACGACCCACCATAAAAAAGTACTTTACCTAAGGATCTGAAGTGAGAGGAATAAGATGCTGAGGAAGGAGGGTGAATAGCATTATAACCAAGAAATGCAGAGAGAAAACTATTAAAAAATGTCGGAACAAAAGGTTTTCACTAAACCTGTCAAAGTTAGCATCGAAATTAGCAATCAAAAATTTAAAATTGCTGAATGATAGTCCTAAAACTTCATTCAGTTCCGAAACAATCAGAAAGCCTCACTTATAGGTAGTATTTGGTAAAAGGCCATCAAGCAAATGATGGATCATTCGCTCTGGGGGCATGCAGACGAGGTCCGGTCGGGCATTAGTTTCTGCAGTGTCAATCATCGACTGGTGGCTCAGTCCGGCCGGCGGACCTCCTCGTAGTCTAGAGACGGCAACTGTGGTCGAGGTAGTTGAGAGGGCGGAAACAACGGATAGCGGTGGTGGTGGTAGGTTCCGTAAACGGCGACCAGTATAAGTCTGCCGAGTGATAGTTGAGCCTGAACGAACACTGCCGGTATCCGATGAGCTGAGTGTGGGAGGAATAGCAGAGCAAGATCTGCCTTTTTCCTCCTCCGCTTGGATAGCCTGAATGTGTAGGGGTGCACTTGGTACTTGTTTGGGAAGATTCGGGCAAAGTAAGGCTAGACCATTGGGGACAGTTACATCGGCAATATCGAGAGCAGTCAAATTTGAATCTTTCAAAGATCGACAAAGGTCAGATAGCTCAGTTATTGGAAATTCGTGTGTGAATTGATATTCTGTGGACGGTCTCTTTCCATTTGTGGACTTCTGTCTATTCAACAGATCGGAGAGACGATCGACGGATTTTGGACCTGATTTTCCTAAGGCGTCTGTTCCATTTAGCCTATGATTCGTGCATCCTCCATTACCGTCAATGCGATCTAGGCGCTCAGGTGATAACGAAGAATGCTGATGCACACGGTCAATTATGCTTAAATTCGCCAAATCTGTAGTCAAGCGAGCCAAAAATTTAGGTGAAACGGGAGACGCAGGGATCTCGAAAGTTTCGATTGAAGAAGTGGGAGCATGAGAAAGACATGTCAACTCGAGGTTGTAACCTATATAAGGGAAAAATGAAATTCAACACAGAAATATAAATCGTAGAAAACAAAATAACTCAGCTGAGGCAAAATAATAAGAAAAGTGATAGTTTTCATTAAGAATCTCGTACTATAAATAATTATAGATAAATTACGGAGAATAACAAGGTTTGACCGAGTCTTCCAAGATAGAAATGTTGAAGGGAATAAAATAAACAGCTTCAAATCAGTGGTGGCCTAATCTGAAGTCCTTATGTTCGGTAAAATTATGTAAGAAGTTGAGTGACTTTGTATTCGTGAGTGAGTAGGATTTCGAGAATACACCTAAATCAGTGTAATGAGATGTATTCACCCTATTTCGTCTAAGGTGATGAAGGACTGGCAGTAGAATTTTC